GAGAGTAAGGGACTAGGGATATAGGACTCCAAAAAACACGTTCCCCAAGGTCTGTCTGAACCTCCTTGTAGATCTGATAAAGCTGTCTGCTAGCTTTAGAAGGCCTGCCAAACGTGACAGCTATTTACGAAATAATTTACCTTGGAAAGAGCAAAAGCTCACGGTGGAAACCGCAACCACACATACATCCTGTTTGCATTTCTCTGGGCACTGCTGACTGTTCCATGAGGACCCTGTTTGCTCTGAGGGTGGTGTTGGGGCTGGGGCAAGGTGGGATGCTCCCTCCTTAACCACAGAGGCAGCCAATAGAGGGGCCATCCTCTGCAGTCTGGAAACGAAACCCTGCTGCCCCTGAAAGATAAGTGGCGCTTGTGTGATGCTGATCCAGGGGCCCTGTGCCCCACCCTACCCCCACCACACCACACCCCGCCCCCTAGACTAGAGCAATAGTTGCCAACAGTGACCAGAGACAGATCCAGAGATGTAGACAAGCAGTGGAGAAGGAAAGTAGTTAAAAGGCTTAAAAGGCCATGGGCCTCCCTGGTGGCGCAGGGGTTAAAGACAGTGCTACCAAGCTATCGCCAAGCCACTGCAGCATGAGTTCGATCCCCCAGCCAGGGAGAAACCCACATGGCACAGCAGACCTCTTCTGCCTCGTCCGCTGCTCCCTTCAGCAGTGTATTTCAGTAGATCTGCCTGTTCTGCTCCCCATTCTCTCTGGTGAATCCTCTCATCCCCTACAACTCTGGCCTGCACCCCAGTACTTGTATGCATAAATAAATAAATACTTTAAAAAATAAAATAGGGACCTCCTTGATGGTGGTCCACCAAGCGCTGCACCGTGAAGCTGTCTGCAGCCTCTGCAGCGTAGGTTCGATCCCAGCTGGCCAGTGAGAATCCCACATGGCATGGCAGACCTCTCCTGTTTCGCCTACTGCTCCCCTCAGCAGTATGTATTTCAGTCGGTCTGCCTGTTCTGTTCCCTACTCTGTCTCTGGTGAATCCTCTCACCCTCCCATGCATCTGGCCTGTACCCCAGTTCTTGTATAAATAAATCTTTTAAAAAATAAAATAAAAGGCCAGACATTTAAAAGATGGCTCCGAGGCACAGGACCTCAAGGAACATCTTCTCTCCCCTCCACTGTTAATCATCTCCCAAACATCACCTCCAGCAGAACCTCAACTGCTGATTCAAATGGAGTCTATGGTGTGCCAGGCACTGTGCTAGGTGTCCACACCTTCCCCAACTCATTTTTACCTTCTCAGCAGCCTTCTGATCACAGTGAATGTAGCTATTGTTGTTTTGTAAATGAGGAAATGGAAGTTCAAAAACCCAAGAGACTTGCCCAAGGTCAGAGGGCTCTTTCTTGGAGTCAGCTAAGGCCCAGGTTCTCTGGGGATTCTCAGATACTTCTGCAAACAGGGCTCCTCCCCTCCATGGGGATGGGGAATATTGCATGTCAGAGGACTAGAGAAATCCCCTGGCATAGTCCTGATCTTTAGGCTGACAACCTTGGGAGGTCTGGGGAGGGCCTTGAGACAAAGCACATGGCAAGACCTCAGATCTGACTGGTGGGAAGAACTAGACAAGAATATTTGAAACCGGAAGGAGCCTCAAGTTAAAGGCCAAGAGTTCTTAACAGAATGGAGAGTAGGAAGAGAAGAAGAGGCTGTCAGGACTTAGTATTAAGAAAGAACTCTGACAGCAGCTTCTCAGGGAAAAGAAGACACAGCCCATATCACATCCTTCTACACGTGGGGAAACTGAGGCCCAAGAGGGAAGGCTCTCCAACAAAGGTGTGCTCTGCTGGGATCAAACCATCCTGGGATAGTGTTCACACATGAGTGTGCTGACTGAACACCCCCTCCCAGAAGTGGCATGAAAGTGCTTGTAGTTTTCCTTTGCCTTTTTTTTTTAATCTTGATGAAAATACTGCAATTTTATATACCTTGGCAGAAGAAAGAGAACTGTAACTTCCACGTTAGTTTTCATAACTAGCTCCCGATTCTTTGGTCATTTCTAACAGTGATGAAAGCTCTTTCCCCTCTGGGCAGCTGATACAGGACAAGTGTCCTCCCAGGGACAGTATCCCATCCATTAGTGGGGATCGCCCCAACATTCACACTGTGGCTCAGAAACACTCAGTTCCCAGCCCAGGCTTCTCTGTCCTATTTCCTCTTCTTTTGCATCCCATCTTGAGGCCCCAGTGCCTAAGTCAGGACAATACAAGGAGAGGAGAGGTGGATAGGAAGGGTCTGGGTTTGGTTGACCATGGTCAGCTGACCACATAACTGTCTAGACCAGCTCCAGAGGGGTCCTCTCCCTATCTCCCCTCTTCTCTCTAAGAAGAATTATGTGCAGGACTTGGTGGGGGGGGAGTCCAAGGAAGGGGAAATTGTTTTCAGGGGTTCCATAGGGCACCTGTGCACACCTAAGCAGTCTACGGGAGGCGAGAGTGAATGTGAACTTTAGCCCAGGCTGGGGCCTAGGAGCCCCAGGGGCGAAGACAAGCAGAACTGTTATGCTCCAGGTCCAGCCACCAGCCAGCTGGGTGAAGACCCTGACACCAGCCACACTCTAGCCAGGACGATCTGGGCTCCAGTCTCAGTTCTACCACCTAACAGCTGTCTGGCACATTGGCCAAATTCACCCACCACTCTGAGGCTGCTTCTTCCTCTTAGACAGATTTCACAAATATTTAGCAAGTACCTCCTATGTACCAGGTACAGTAGCAAGTGTGAAAAAGCAGTTACATCCCTCGAGAGAGAGTTATTAATCAAACCATCACACACACCCACATCTCAGTGCTAAAGGGGATAATAATACCACTCCTAGGGAGGGGAGGAGGCAGATGAAGCAGAGGCTGCATCTAAGCAGCAGAAACCAACAAATGCTGCTGTTATTATCCCAGCCTCTCAGAAGGCATCTCGTGGAGTTAAAGAATTGAAAGAATAGTTTGTATTTGCCCTCACTTTAAGTTCTAAAAACTTAAGTTTCCCCCCTACTTTAGCTCTGGGAGCCACGTGCTTTATTTACCCCAAATTCTTGATGAGGTTCTGGAGCCCAGAGAGGGTAAACGACCCCCTCGAGGGCTCCAGCCAGGAGATCCAGGACCCAGAAGTCCACGCAAGGCCCTGATTTTGCACCCCCTCGGCTGTTAAACGGAAGGGCTGGGAATCTTGGAGCCCAGGGACTGAAGGGGGTGGGAAATGAGCGTTTTCCGGGCCTCATTCTCAGCAGCGGCTGGGATGTGCTCCGGGAAGGCGGCCCCTCCCTCCCGGGCCCTCCACCGCCAAGGTCGAAGGACTGGGGGGGGCGGGGGGGGGGTACGGCCGAGTCCTTTCTGTGCAGCCCACACTCGGCTTCCGAAGGTCTGGACCTGCCTCGGGCAGCCGGATGAGAACCCGTCCGTTCCTTTGCTCGCCACCCTCATCCCACCTCCCCCCACCTGCAGATGGGCAACCTGGACTGGGCGCTGGACCCCGGGCGACCGTGCTGTGACCCCCAGCACTCGGGCTTTAGGGAGCTCCCTGCGGGTGGGGCCCGGGGAGGCGGCTCCTCCTCCACCTTCTCGGGTTCCCGCCGGTGGCCGGCGGCCGCCAAATCGCTTTTCCATGCGCCCGCCGCCCGCACCCCGGAGCCGCCCCCCGGGTCTTCTCCCTGGGTCCCCTGCGGCTGCGGCGGCGGGCGGGGCGCGGGGCAGAGGCCGTGGACCCTGTAAGGCGAGGGGACTGAATGGAAAACAGGAGAAGGGAGGGCTTGGGACGGGGCGGGCAGGCTGAAGTTCCCTGCTGGGAAGCTGGTGCAAAGGAGTGTGCACACCCCAAACCCGCTCAGCTCCGCTCCGCTCCGCATGGGGCTGCTTCCCTGCCTTCCCCCGCCTCGCCCCACCCGGCCCAGAACTGCACCCCCGGGCTTGGATCGCCCTGAGGCCAGCGCGTCTCCCCCACGGTGCTCACAGCCAGGTGGGGAGGGAGCGCTGGAGCCGGCGGGCAGGTGGGGCGCAGTTTTCCCTAAAGCACCTGACTCTTCACCGAAGCGCAAGGACTAAGACGCGAAAGGCTTTAACTTTCAGAGCCCGGCACAAGTGGGGGCTCCACAGCAAGGTGATTGCCCAGTGTGCTGACCTCTCCTGGGCGCCGCGCCAACCTCTTCCACCACTAGCGTGAGGGGACAGCCGTCCTTGTCCTCCACCCGATTAGTTTATGAGCCCTTCCCTCGCATATTTCATTTGAACTCTGTGAGTCAAACTGCCTGGGTTTGATTCTTGCGTGGCGGGATGAACTGTAAGAACTTGGACAACGCGCTTTACTTCTCTCTGCTTAGTTTTCTGGCTTATAAAATGGGGTTAATACTAGAACTCACCTGGCTGAGTTATTGTGCAGATTATGTGACTAATAAATACACAGACAGGTGTGACGTCCCTGCGGCCCTGTTAGTGTTGTATTGCACCCTGGTGTGTCTAACTCAGGGCCTCCTTCAAAGATGAACTTTCCAGATTTGGCCCCTCTCTGTATGGAGGGGGAAAGAAGCACTTCTTTTACACAGGTTCCAACTCCCCTGGAGATCTGGCTAAAAAGCAGATTCTGATTCAAATCTGGGTGGGGAGGAGGTGAGACCCCAGGATTTGCATTTCTAACAGTTCTCTGGTGATGTCCCATCTCTGAGAAGAGAGAAACAGTTTAGAGGATCTTCTCCCATAAGCTTACAGTCTCTAATGTCACGCTGTGGGGTGGTTGGGTGGGAGAAAATCATTAAATCCCCAAGAACAGCTTCTTGTACTCTGGGAATAAAAAAAAATTGGTGGTGGGGGGTGCAGGCGCTTCCCAATTCTCAGGAGGTTTAAGACCCAGAAGGAATTATAAAGGGACAGCGTGATTCTTTCTCGGCACCCTTTAAGAATAAGAGACCCAGAAAGGCCACCCCGCTGCTGGAGGACTAAAGAAAGGAACTAGGGCTCCTCCTCTTCAGTCTTCCAATTGGGGCCCTCTCTCCCCAGACAACCAAGAGAGCCGAGGGAAGCCAGAGGGCGGCAGCAAGGCCCGCAAGGAAAGGACGGCTTTCACCAAGGAGCAGCTGCGGGAGCTGGAGGCCGAATTTGCTCACCACAACTATCTGACCCGGCTCCGGAGATACGAGATCGCTGTCAACCTGGACCTCTCGGAGCGGCAGGTGCGCCTGGGGCCTCCTCTTCCCACCATTCCCCCTTCCTCTGCTATTTCACCCCTTTTGTCCTCCTCCTTCTCCCCAACCTTCTCCTTTTTCTTCTCCCTCAGGCCACCCCGGTGGCTCCTAACTGCAACTGTGCATGAGAATCATCTGCAGAGCTTTTAATAACACTGAGGCTAGACTCCACCCCTCAGGTTGCTTGCTTTCATCTGGGATAAAGTCCTGACTTCAGGATTTTTCAAAGGACTCCCAGGCAATGATTCTTCCGTGCAGCCAGGGTTAGAACCTCTGATCGGTTATTCCCAAACTTGGGTGTACCTCTGAGTCAGCTAGGCGCTTGTTTAAAACGCAGAATCCAAAATACTCAGCATCAAAAAAGGTAAACTCATGCCACGCCATTCGCAGCAACATGGATGGAGCTGGAAGTGACATCATACTAAGTGAAATGAGTCAAAGGAGAAAGATAAATACCGGATAGTATCACTCACATGTGGAATATAGAGAAACTAAACTAAGAGTCAAGCTTAAAAACTTATAAACAAAGCTCATAAGCTTTGTTAATAAAAATACCCCCAAAAGTACAGAAGCCATCTGAGGAAGTGTGATCCTGTGCCTTTGAATCATACATTATTGGAACCTATGTTACCTCAATAATATATATAATACATTTTTAAAAATAAAATGCCTATTCCAGAGCTCCAGAGAGTGATTCTGCAGCAATCATGGTGGGACTGGGAATCTGCATTTCTAGTAAGTTCTCCAAGGGATTCAAATATGCAGCTGGTTCCTGGACACACTCTGAACAACTTCCTAGCCCTTTGTTTTGGGCCCTTCCTCTGAGCATTCCACCCACACCCATGCAGCCTTCAGCAGATAAAGCACTCAGACCTACTGGGTTTAGAATCAGGAGACTCCACTCAAAACCTGCCATTACCACTTCCTAGCCCTATGACCTCTGGGACCTGACTCCTAACCTCTCTGGGTCTCTATCTACACCCTCTGGGATTAACCTCTGTATCTGTAGCTGCTGGGAGTCTATCTGGGTCGATGTGTGTATGGGGGAGGGGGTCATAACCCACCCTGCAGATAACACTGAAGCTCAAGTGAGAAAATATACAGACCAGAACTAAGCTGAAAGTGCTCTATCAATGTGCCCAGTGAGCCTGTTCCTAAACCCTTGGGGTACAAGAGCTAGAGGAGGGGGTGTGGGCACAGGAGGGGCAGAGCATGTAAAATCTGAGTGACTTAGAACCCCTTCCCAGTCTTTATCAGGAGACACTGGACTGACCTCTCTCATCCAACTGGTGCCTCTTTAGTTTTGTCTCCTGCATTCCTGGAGCTGTGAGGAATGGAAAGGGGCATGCAGAATTTGGAGTTGGGGTCTCCAGAGCTGCACCTGGCTAATTTTTGCATCAATATGGGGACGTGGTTGCACCTGCCTTGAAGTGAGTGGGCTCTTTTGCTTCCTCCGTCAGGTCAAAGTGTGGTTCCAGAACCGGAGGATGAAGTGGAAGCGCGTGAAGGGGGGTCAGCCCATCTCGCCCCGTGGGCAGGACCCCGAGGATGGGGACTCTGCAGCCTCTCCAAGTTCAGAGTGAGACTCTCAGAGAGAAAACAAGCTGAGGACTTCATTCCTTACCTAACTCCTCCACCCCAATCCCACCCTCACCTGCCCTCTACCCCGGGCAGCCCTTTCCACACCCTGCAGTGACTCATGGATCTGGAGTTGCCCACAGTTCCTGGGAGTCTGAAGAGTCCCAGAAAGTTCTGTCCAACATTGCTCTATCTCAGCCATCTCTTGCCTGGGGCCTTTGCTTCCCAACCTTTGTGGGGCACACAGCAGCCTGACCCCCTGAGAATCAGGGGAACAGCTCCACGGATGCTGCTTCTCGGGGGGTCTCTTGGCTGCCATCCACACCTCCTCCTACACTGCCAGGCCCTTCAGACCTGGACATCACCTAGCCTGTTGGGAGAGAAGCTGCAAGACCAGCTAGTGAATCATGAAATCAAGTGTTCTGAAAGAAAGGCGATCTCCTACACAGCTTTCCTTTATGGGCTCTGTCTGAGGCTTTGGTTGCCTCAAGCCCCAGGAAAATCAGTGCAAAGAGGGTTGAGGACCAAAACTCAACAAATCAGAAACCAGTCCCTGTCTCTAAATTTGTTGGCCCTGAAGTGGGCAAATCTGTGAGCACCGGCTGCAAGAAAACAGTAGACAAACAGCTTAGTGTAGGTCTTGCAGACCCCTTGCAGCCCATCGTGGCAGCTTGACCGGGTGGATGAGACTGGACCAGGACAGCACCTGTCCCTCCAGCTAAGTCCAGGGATACAGCTGTGGAGTGGGCCCCAGAGCAATGGAGCAGCTACTCCTTTTAAATCCACATTTTATGGCTTGACAACCTGTCCAGATGTTCATATCGGGGAGTCAAGGGCCCCCCTATGGTAGCTCCCATGTTCTGAGAATGGAGAGGTCATGGAGGGTTGCTGGGTGAGGGCCTAGAAACATGGGAACCAGAAGTGAAAGTTCCTGCAGCTACACCGTCCTGTGCTCTGACTACCAATGGGAAAAAGAAAACCGTTCCTCTGGTTCCACAGATGAATGTGAGCCCCTCCCATGTGTTCCCCAAATGCTGTCTTTAGGGGAGGAAGGACCTGTTGAGTTTCTGTGTGTGGACTGCCCAGATCCTGGTGACACTCCAGGACTGATGGCTTGTGGGGGGGAGGGGGGAGGTGTACAGAAACCTTGGAAAGAGACCCCCTGCCTCCTCCATGCTCTGTCCCCCGATACCAGCTGGTATTGCAGAGGGAGGTCAGCAAGAGTTTGGAGCTCTTGTATATAGATTTAATCATTCATGTGTAAAAAGAACCCCACCTCCCCATCCCAGAAGGACAAATGCTGTAGGAAATGATCGCCAAATGAGATGGCTGGGGAGAGTATGTGTCATTTTTTTCGAAAGCATACTTCATATATTTTCTTAAGATTACATCAAGTTAACTGTGTAAATTCAATTCACTTCCTAAAGAAAGTTCTTGGAGAAATAAAATCAATTAAAAAGCAAAGTTCCTAGGCCCCGCAGAGCTAAGAATCACAGTCCTGTGTTATCCTCTGATGCTCCTGTGATAATCGGCTGGACAACGTCTAGAAGCAACGACATGAGGGAAGAACTCATCTAGACCAAAGTATCCCTCTTGAGGCTCTTCAAAACGTGGAGGTACAAATATAATCAATGCAGGAAAAATGTCTTTTCTCCTTTGCAACCGTATTGTCTTCATTTCCTGTCGTGAAATTTTAGCTTTCCATTTCCTAACCTGTGACTTATCAAAGAGTTGAAGTTCTGTAAACAAGGATGAACTCTACGTAATAAAGAAATCTCAACCATAAACCAATCATCCCTAATCTTTAAATTCAATGTTTGGAGGTTTTTGTTTTTCAAAATAAAACAACCTGGCAACAGTAATAAAAATGACATAAAAGAAAGTGCCCCCAGTTCTATGTCTTTTTAATTAGATAAGACCTCAATACCAAGATGTCAACCCTGGACAAAATATCTAGGAAGGAGAGGCAGCAGGAGAAGAGGCCAGGCCAGGGTTTGGCACCGAGGCAGTCAGGGCCGGTGCAGGCAGTGACAAGAGAGGACATCACCATGAGCAGGTAGAGTAAGGCAGGCCCACCAAAGTCCAGGTGCCAAAGGTAAGGGGGCTCACTGAGGTTCAAGCTCAAAGCCAAGTAAAATGGACACCCTTGGGCACCCTAGTCCGGCTTCTAACTCACCTCCCTGTGGCTTCCGAGGACTTCAATCTCTGATGATTTTTCTTGATGTCCAGAATGTTCCTTCTCTGTCTCCCATGCATATCCCCTTTTCTGGTCCCCAAGATTTCCATACCCCATATCCACTTCATACTCTCCCCAGACAATCCCATCTATCTTGGTTTATTTGATTATGGCAAAACATACATAGTATACAATTTTAATCACCTTGAGTTGCACAGTTTTGGGGCATGAAGCACTTTCACATTGGGTGCCAACCATTGCCCCCATTCATCTCCAAAACTTTTTTACCTTCACTGTCCCCATTAAACAACAATTTCCCCCCTCTCTCCCCTCCATCCCCCTACAAGTATAGTGTTTACTCTGTGTTGGGCACTAAATGTATATGGACTAAGTTCATTCTTTTAATAACCCCAAGAGGTAAGGTTACCTCCTAGGAGGGGACAGCTCCATAGATATACAGAGGAAGATTTAACATGTAAATATGGCCCAACTAATCTTCAACAGCAGATTTACGTCTGGCATCACACAGCAACATTAGCTAATGTCTTAATGGAAAAAAAAAATTCTTTCCAGGTGAGAATTTTAATTTCCCCAATAAATACAGCTAATTCATTAAAGAGAGTCTGGTTGTGAAATTCAGAGTTTACGGACATCCATCAAGTGTTTTCTGGTTTCCCTGGATCAGTCCCGATTTCCCCCCACTCCCCCACCCCACGCTTTCCTCTTCGAGGGGGACGACTGGATGTTTGATTGGCCAGGCTGGGTGAGCGGTAGTTGGGCCCGTTGTTTTTCAACTTGGTAACAGCCCTCAGGTTTCTCTCCAAGACAAAGCTGCAGGAGGGAAAGCAAAGCCCCCTGCTGATGACTCCCCCATGTGAGCCAGTGACTGTGACCAGTGATGGCGGCTTGGTAGGATTCCAGCAACCAAGAATCCCCAGAGAGTAACTTTTCAATAATGGGTTTCTCCTTCCTTGAGAGAGCATCAGGGATGAGCTTGTGTGTGGCTGCCCTTTCTTTGGAGGAGGGTAGAGAGATGGAAGGGAGACAAAGGGAGTAGAAAATCTATTTCCATATGAAAGGGCCCAGCAGGCCCTGGGTTGTGTGTAGCTCTTCTACTCAGAGAAAAGAACATGTGTCAGACAGGGGCACTCTTTCCTGCCTGACCCCCAAAGTGTCACCGTTCCAAAAACCAGGAGAACCCATGGCAGGAAACTCTCTTTCCTTCCATGGAGTGGTAATGTTTTCCATTAAGAGCAACATACTTGGCCTCCCTGGGGGTGCAGGGGTTAAAGACAGCACTATGAAGCAATCACCAGCCACTGCAGCATGAGTTAGATTCCCGTGTGGGCCAGGGAGCAACCCACATGCAGCAGCAGACTTCTCTTGTCTCACCGCTGCTCCTCTCAGCAGCGTATTTCAGTAGATCTGCCTGTTCTGCTCCCCACTCTCTCTGGTGAATCTTCTCACCCTCCCTGCCCCCACACCTCTGGCCTACACCCCAGTTCTTGTATGCATAAATAAATAAATCTTTAACAACAACAACAACAACAAAAGAGCTACATACTGCTTCAGCCAGGCAGGAGGCCTGTGTCAACCAATTCCTTATAATTACCAGTGCAGCGATGGTTCACCAGTGTCCCCTGGCCACCACAGCACTGGCTCTCCCATTTTCCTTCTCTCACCATTTGACCTTCCCAGCCCCTGTGCTGTAAATACCCTGAGTACCTCAAACCCATGCCCTTCTCTATAGCCACCATCCCCCCTGGCCACAATTATCCCTTTATCTTGGTCTTCCCACCTTATGTGTGTTCCTTTAAGGCTGGTACCACAATTTATAGATCTTTTATTTGTTGTTAGCTTATTAGTTTACAGTCTGCTTTCCAAACTGGGAGGAAGAAAAGGGATTGTGTTGATCTGATCATTTTATCCCTAGAAGCTAATGTGACACCTGGTACATAGGAAATGCTCAATATTTATTGCAAGGATGGATGGGTGGGTGGGTGGGGGAATTGTTAAATTTGTAATATCAAAACAGATGAATGGATCAAGAAGATGTGGTATGTATACACAGTGGACTACTACTCAGCAATCAAAAAGATAAAACTCATGTCATTTGCAGCAACATGGACAGAGCAGGAAGGGATTATGCTAAGCAAATTAAAATGAAGGAAAAAGAAATATCAGATGGTTTCACTTGCATGCAGAATGTAGTGAAACCAAACAAAGGTGTCAGGAAAAAGAAAAAAAAATTGCAGACTGAACACAGATTCGAGGCATACAGCTGGGGAGAAGGAGGGAGAGGGGTAAGAACAGGGGAGGGAAGAGCACAGGGGACTGTGGTGATGGATCACGGGTGCTATGATGGTGGGAGAACTATGCGGACAACACTTGAGGGGAGAAACCAATTACTGCCCAAAAAATGTGCAATGATTTAGAAAAATGAATGCTAAAAATTAAAACTTAAAAAAGACATATCAGTGCTATCACCTGGCTTCTAGGCCCACAAGCAGCACGACTGGACACGAGGCCATTAGGGAAGCTCTGGCGAGAGGCCGACTAGACGTCTGGCTTGATGCTGTCAGGTCTTTTGGGTCTACTGGGGCTGGCAGGTCATGCCCTTGGCCCAAAACAGCAGCCCTGGACACCCATCCTATTCTCCTCTGAAACAAATACTGCCCGGAGGGACCGGCTCTAATTCTAGCCACAAGACCAGCGTTCTCTGTTACGTCCCCTACTCCCAGCCCTGACGACTCCATGAGTCTTTTCCCTTTGACCTGCTCTTGGAAAGAAAGAGCTTCCAGGGCCTGACCACTGACAACAGCAAGACACAGAGGCAGGCCCGATAAGGGACATAGGAGCAGTTTCTACACAGCTCTGAGGGTGATACTTGATAGCTTGACAGTGACATCAGGGTCAGGGCTTATACCCAACTGAACAGAAAGAGACATGACCTAACTCGTCTCTCACCGTGGGCCTGGCTGTCAGAGCTTCTCTTTCTTTACTAATTTCCTAACCGGAGCTGTTGGCTCAGGACGCCAGTCTGTCCCCAGAGCTGGGGCCCACGACTGGGCTGAACTCCAGCATTATTGGGAATGGAGCAGGCTCAGCAGGGTCTGAGAGCCCTGGGGAAGGGCGGCTACCCCTGAGTCTGTGTTCCTCCGGCCAGAACCTGCAGCCGCTTTCCCCACCATCCTGCAGGGCTGCTATTCTTTGAGGAAATCCAGTGGGGTGAATTCAGCTTCTCAGAGTGCAGAAGGAAATGTGTTCCAGCCTTCCATCAAGCTGCAGGCTTCCCCAGTGCCTAGAAAGGATGGTTTTATTTGTATTTTAAAAGATAATTTAAAACCAGATTTTCAGGAACATGAATCCTGTCTAAAGCACCCAGCACACCCGGCTGGAGAGCCGCAGACCCATGTCTGTTGTTGTTGTCTGTGGCTACAGTGTGGAAATGGGCAGGGGTTCTGTTCCAGCCCAACACATCAGAAGCAAATCTGGACCCAGTTTCCTAGAAGGGCCTGAAGACAGTCCCCTCCAGGAGCAAGCCGGAGGCCCAAAGCCTGTGTTTCTTCTGGGAGACAGTAAGGTGCCTTTAAAATGCCTTTTATCCTTGACCACTACCCTTCAGTGTTTTCCTCACCTAGCTCCTCCCTGAAAGACTTGAGAAGAAGCTATTCCAGAGCCTCGAGGGCCTGAGAGGACCACTGGGCGGATGGAGGACACAGCACTGAGGCGCCCGAGGCCTATGAGCCTGGGGGACCCCTCAGTCAGAATCATGAGGCGATTTCTGCTCAAGAATTTGTGGTCCTTCTGGGGGCTGCGGCACAGGATGCAGAGCCTTCATCTCCCAAATCCCTTTTGTGCGTCCCCCACGGATCTCTGCAGAGCAGATGCCAGGGGTGGGGAGGAGGACACAATACCCCTCTTTGTTGGGGGGATCTGGGCCAGCAGTCAGGGGAGGAAATTAGACAGCACTCCTGACAGCAGGCTCTGTCTGGGGTGTCTGTGAAATATGGGCCAGAGGGGCTCCTTCCCAAGACCAGTTCAGAACTACCGACCACCCCCTCACCCCAACCCACTCCACTTCCACCCCCCTGCTTTGGGTAGAGAGGACACTGCCTGTTTGGAGAGAAATGATATATGACACCCAGCTTCCTTCCCTCCTCTCCTGAGGGGCTAAAGGGAGCTCTGAGGGTTTGGGGGGTTCGTGGTTGCTCCTAGGAGGTGTGGATGTGTGTTCACACTTGTGCATGGGGGGCTGTATATGTGTATTTGTGTATGGACGTGTGCAATGTGTGTGTGCTCACTCATGGCCAGAGGAGAGAGGTCAAAATGGTCCCCACAAACAAACAAACAAAACACTGGCCAAGATGGCCCCCTCCTTAGCACCCTGCCTTTGCCCGGACCAGGACGAGGCCTTTAGGACACAGGCGCGGAGGCCGCTCACTGAGCCCCGCTGTCTGAATTCACCCTCCAAGTAGCCACCTCCCATGAAGGGACTGTTCAAGATAAGCCTGGGGCCGCCTAGCAGAGGCCCCAGGGAGGCTTCCGATGCAGCCACAGCTTCAGAGCCTCCAGTGGCCCCTGAGTCATTTGTCTTCAAGGGAGGAAATGAGAGTATATTCCCACACACCCACTGCCTCTGTGGCCAGCCAGGTCTCCACATCTGGGCCACAGCTGGCTGCTGAGCTGC